AGAATGAGGGCTCGCTTCACACACTGTGTGAATTTGTTTGCCCGTGGAAGGGAAAAGACTATTAATAATGAAAAAGGCAGTTTGTTTATATTCTCATCATTGATTCTTCCTAGTTTGTCTTAATTACTTGGGTTTTTTTAATAAATTAGTACTTTTTTCTGCACTCTAATGATGCAACATTAAAGCTTTTCTATTTTAAATGTGACTTGTCTTAGTTGTTTTCATGGCATGTAAGCATGGGAAGGGAAAATGTGAATAGTAAGTCTTAATCCAGTCAAAAATTTGACTGGCAACATCAGTTTGTTTTTTTCATCCTTATTCTTTGTTGAATTTTTTTCTATTAAATTTATACCCTCAGCAATATCCATCTATCAAGAGAAATCTAGATAGCTTAAGTCAATTCATCTGAAGAAATTACAAGTGTATCAAAGCATACAGGCTTTCTTAAAAGTATGTAATTTGTCTTTAATTTTCCCCCCATAGGCAAGTACTTATCTGTCTCTAAAGACCTACTTCCTGTCGAAAAGTATCAGGGATTTAGATGTTTCTTCATTTACAGAGAAGATTGCAAAAATCAGCCCTTTACCTGAAGCTCTTGGATGGTATTGCATCTGTAATTGTAAATGGAACATTTTTGTTCCATTTTGTGACGTACGTATCCTAATTCTGCCACCAGCACCAGAAGTCCTGAGGCGTTTTCTAAATTTTAACTCTAAAAGCTTCGCATGCTTCCGTTGGCATGCAGAACACTTGGTCTGTTATTTTGCCACCACCACCTTCCAAGTTAAACCCTGGAAACCTGGAATAAGCATGCAGGGGAGCTGAGGAAGCAGGGCCAGTTTGCTGCTATAACACATATACTTTGTTACATGTGAGCTCTGTGTAGATTTTTGACAATGCAGTACTCAGATTTTTGTAATTGTGTTACTGTGTGCAATGAATACTGTTAAACCAAGAGAACTGGTGTATACCAAGCTTGCTGCTGAATGACAGACACTTAATTGAAAGGAATTAGCCAGTTAGTGTCCTGCAAAACCAAGTAGGCATTCTTCCCATCTCAGTCAAAAGGCATTAGTGTGTTCTTAAGATATTTCTTTCCTGTTCCCTGAACTAGCTCTTAAAAATAACCTTCAAGAGAGGACTGAAATTAAGTTATTTGTTGTAGTAATAAAACATGTATTAAAAGAACAGGCATGCTAATTTCATTATAGTGATTGTATGTGCACATGCATACTGTAAGTAAATGATCTTTTACTTTGAAAATATGAAGTGTTTTTTTTCCACTGTTTGAAAATTTGCAGTTAATATTCACTCTTGCAAGAGTTGACTGGCTTTTTACTGCTTGGCATTCATGAGTGCAGGTTTTGCTTGTTTTGTTTTAGAAAGGTTGGCAGTTTAAAGGCTTGCGTTGTTTTAACGTGTTTTGCTGCTGGGTACTGGGCTGTTCACAAGCATGCAGCTGCCATCTGGTATTTACCCTTCTAGGACTATTTGATTATCTTCTCCATTTGGAATCATTGAAAGAATAGGCTAAGTGAATCACTGAACATTAACATTTGGCATCTGTTCACTGTCTTCTGTTCTTGTCTCCACAAACTTCACCTGTAATCGGACTGATGGACCTTTCATATCTCATTAAGTTATTTGATTAGAATCTGTCATTTGTGATATCTCTCCTAAGGAGCACTGCTTCATAATGAATTTTTCCCTTTTTTTTAAATTGCTTGGTGTTAATTATTTTAATTTTCATTTGTCATGGAAAGCTACCCTTGCCACAGAAACGTGTGGAAAGCTTATGAAGGCCTGGGACTTTTAATGATATTTTTTAGACCTGGAACTGCAAAATTCTGCAAAACTGAACTGTGAACTGAAATGCTTCTGCATGGCCACAAGATGGTGCAAAATGCCTGCCTAGTGAAAGAAATGGTGACTACAGCAATAGTCCAATCCAATTCTGAATGTGAAATGTGCTGTCAAAGTACTTCTGGGTTCTAAAAATTCTTTTGCTGACAGCAGGTAGTCTTTAAAGGAACGGATTTTTTGCAATCAATGCAGTGGGAAGAAACTTTACAACAAGTTTTGATGTGATTTTTTTTTTCAGTTGATAATTCCTTTTTATGTAGCTGTTCAAATGTGCATAGGTAATTTCACAGCCAGTGTTTGAACTATAGTGAGTTTTCTATCAAAGGGGTGATTATAATTTCTTGGTGAAATTTGACGTTGGTGCTCAGGGTGATACTGGAGATGTGAAGTTTCTTGCCTGGATGCTATTTGTACAAGATCAGACTTGCCCAAGTGACATGTTGCTGTCCAGTGCAGAGATGACTATTCCGTTAAAAAGATGAAGCATGTATGTGAGGGAGGATGGGGTAGGGGCAGCCTAAGCAGCTTTTGCTGTTGGTGATGAGCAGGGTATATCACAAATTTATTTTGGTCTAGAGTTGAGTGACTATGTAGAACAAATCATTAGCAGTTACTTTAAAAAAAACCTCACCCTTCTTTTTTCTCTAAACATCACATGCTTCCTTAAATGTTCTTACACTCCTCGTAAAAACATCTGCCCGTATGTTTTATGCAGTCCTGAAGTGCTCTTTCCCATCATCCTATGCAGACCCCCTTGTTCTTGTAGGCAGTAAAACCCCTTAGCCTATAAGGTAATTTATTTCTAGTTTCATTCCCAGAAAATGATCTGATTGCTTTCCTTTCATAACCCCAGGAACAAGTCAGACAAGGTGATCCTCCTGTGCTGGTGAGGTTACTAGAGTTCCTCTGCTGCTTGTTTTCCTCGGCTCCTCGCTGGGCCTTTGTGCTTTTGGTGGCTCACCACTGAACACATGACCTAACGGACAGGATGTACAACAGAGGGCTGAGTGTGATAAGCCCTGACAAGAGAGCAAAACCTGGTATTTCTGGGAAGGTGTGCTGGAACAGCATCATGGGCAGGCTTAGCTGGTGGTCTGTGTTGGCATCTGGCTCAGCCCCACCCAGTAGTGGAAGTGGGTGAGGAAGTGTTGCTTTCCAGGAGTATGGCACTACTCAAAGCAGAGGAGACACAGATTAGGCCTTGGTCCTAAGCTGCAGCCTGCAACCTGCCACTGAGTGCTGGGAGGGTGTTTCCCTCGGGCTAGGCTGTGCAGGCTCACTGGAGTGGTAATTGGGGTGGGTCTCAGTTAACTCTGACTGTACAGGGATGTGTGTGAGTCAGAAACTTCATCACAGCCTGTCCTCTCCTTGATCCACTTAAATGGAAGTGGGTCATGTCCTGTTGTCTGGAGTTCCTTTTCCCACATGACGGCAGGAAGACTGAGACTCTGGTTAACATGTCTAAACCATCACGTACAGCAGATGATGTTAGTTGTTGAATTCCTGTCCTGGGCTTATTTTACATCTAAGAGGTGAGGACTGTAATCCATCTTGCAACACCTCTGGCCTTTGTAGTACAAGACTGATTGCTGGAATGGAAAATAAATGAGCAAACTCTTTTTGTTTGTGAAGAAGCAAAGTTTAAGTAATTTTCTGAAGAGTTTAGCCCTATGTACAGAATTCACTGCTCAGCATAGCTATTTCAACATCGAGTTTGTATTTGTGACTTCTTTCAGCCCTGACTGAGAATGCAAGTCTATCAAAAATTACTAGGTTGGGAGGATACTTCTTGAATTGACCAAGAAGAAGGCAAACTGAAAAGGCATCTATCATTGAGTTCAGAGAAAAATGCATCACAGTAAATAGTCTAATCCCAGTTTATTATAATGGCATTGGATGGTACATTTCTTTTTAGTTACTTAACGTGCAGAACATTTAACGGTCATTTTTTCAGATGCTGTGTGCATATGAAAAGAGCTACATATTCTCCTTAATCAATTGTTGCATGCTAGCATGCACATTTGTGTTGTAATGGGTACAAAAAATAGGAGAAAGAGAAGTTTATTGATCTGTAACCATTGCTACTACAGAAAGGAAGTAGCAATCAATATGACTAGTCTCTTAGACCAAGATGGCTGGGAGTATTATGCTGTTTTCCCTCCTGACACAGCCACTACACACTAGAAAAAAAATACATCTTTGAGAGCATGGGGAAAATAGATGTGCATTCAATTTAGGGAAAACCTTCAGGCCCTTACTGAAAAACAAGTTGTTAAAGTTGTTATATTTGCATCTGTGATGCTAGAATGCTTCTGTCCTTTTTACAGTGCTGTTTAACTCCCACAGGCAGGATAGTTGCATTGATTCTATATATATATATATATAACCAATGCCACATCAACATTCAGGGTAGGAAAATAGTAATTCTAATGTCAAAATGCTCCTTAAACATGGAAATTGAACTCTTCCTGTGATTCTGAGTCCTTCTGCCTTCCTTCTTCCTGTGTATTTAACAGTATTTTTACAGTTTATATAACTAGTATGTGCCATTGTGTAAGGGAGATGAACATTTCACAAAAGTTTCTCTTCCTTATCTCTTGGATAAAGCAGTTGAAAACTTACAGATCAAGGAAAATCTTTAAGGAAAAAAAAGAAATCTTTAAGTAAAAGAAGTAGAGACATGCAGATACTGAATACAGTTAAGCTAACAGGTAAGCTGCATTTTGTTTTAGACAGCATCCCTTTGTGAAACTGAGATTGTGATGTAGGAGAGATGGATGGTGGTGGGATGCTGGTAACTTCATGAAAATAACTTCTTCATTTCAAATGAAAATGGTAAATAGTATTTGAATGCAACTGAAACAATAATTTTTTCAAATCATGTAACTATGACAATTTATTCTGACTTAGAGGAAAGCTACTATTAGGGAGTGGTTACTAGTGAAGATTGTTATTCTGAAAGGCTAGAGTGTAGTGGAAACAATTATCCATGTGTATCACTAGGCAAAAAAAAAAAAGCTCATTCTTATGTTCCTTTTGCATTTATTCGTACTGTAACTAGCCTGTTGATGTAATACCACCACGTAATTTCTTTAAAGTAAACTTCATAGAAATGTTCTTGTAAATTGTAAAAGACATTTAAGTTAAAAAGTCATCTTATTTGCTTCCAGACAGGACAACAGTATAGACTCTACTTCTTCTCTCAGAGAAAACAACAAGCTAGAAGGTCAGGAATCCAGACAAGGTATGTAGTGGGGAAAGCTGAAATTTTGTTTTCTTGATGTTGAGCAGTGACTAATTCCAGGTAACTGGTAGCTCTCTTTTGAATGGTAGCTGCAATCACAGAGGAGCATCCTCCTACAAGTCAGTGACATAGGATGACAACCTTGGGCCTAATTCCAGAAAAGCAGAGGGGAAGAAGACATTGCAGGAACTTTGTCTTCTTCTGTGAGTTTGGAGAGTTTTTGTGGCTACCAGTAAGTTGCAAGTCTTCAAAGTTTGTTTAGTTTAGCTTCTGGAACATGGCTGAAGCTCCTGCAAGGCTCATTTGGCTCTTCATATCCAGTTCTTCAGCTGAAGAGGAACTTCAGTCATTTCAAGTTCTTGATATGTAGGTGATTGCAAATACTGCTATTACCATTTGCTGAATTCTTTGAAAGTCAGTTTTACTTTGTATTGGGATAATCGTAATAGTCTGCAGCAGTCTAATTTGGCATTCACAGAAATCCATTATTATTATAATTGTTTGCCAAAGGGCTGCTGGTAATTAATAATTTTGTTCAGTCTTGATATATCATACCTTGCTTTGATTGTGAAGAGCTGAATGAGCTCTCACAGAAGGTTCATAACGCTCACTGCTCCTGATAATTGGCACGTTTTAGTTGGAGTCAGTGCCAGTGGAAGTACACACCGCAACCTTTGAATTTCTGAGGACATGTGTTTTAACTTCTATTTTCTCTTTTTAAATGAAAAAAAATAAATGGTAAGATGTTCAGGTACTACAGTGGTGGGCAGAATAGAAAAGGCAAGATCAGTTGTGTCAGTGGTATTCGTTTGAGTACATGCTGTGTGAGGAAACGATTTTCTTAACCTGCAGTATTATTTGTTTTATTCCAATCATTGAATCACTTTATAATAACTGCCAGTATTATTTTGTGTGTGAAGCATTAGAATTGTAGGTGGTTCATTCTCAGTCCATTTATTTTAATGTGGACTACCTGTATGCAGTAACATCAGAAATAACTTTTCCAATGAAAGAACATTGCAAATTCTTAGAAGCTCTATTTTTCTTCTGCAAAGATCTAACATTATTTGCTTCCTGCCACTCCTGTTTCACAACTCAGAATGCTGTCTAAAAGAAGTGTCTTGGAATAACTTTGTAAAATGTGTTTTGTTTTGTGTTTTTCTTTCTCTGAAGTAATTAGGGGAATTAAATGGAGAAGGAGAGAGTCATAATAAAAGCATTCAGACAGAACTTTTAGGAGCAGTTTACTATTAGGCTATCGAGTAACGACAGGACTAGGGGGAATGGGGCAAAGCTGGCAGTGGGCAGATTCAGGCTGGATGTGAGGAAGAAGTTCTTCCCCATGAGAGTGGTGAGACCCTGGAATGGGTTGCCCAGGGAGGTGGTTGAGGCCCCATCCCTGGGGGTCTTTAAGGCCAGGCTGGATGAGGCTCTGGGCAGCCTGATCTAGTGGGAGGTGTCCCTGCTCATGGCAGAGGGGTTGGAACTGGGTGATCCTTGTGGTCCCTTCCAACCCTGACAGATTCTGATCTGTTTTGGCAGAGGACTTTGGAGCCCTAATGGCTCAATGGTTGGACTTGATGATCATGAAGGTCCCTTCCAACCTAAAGGATTCTATGATTCTATGGCTTTGAGGGATGCTTTAAATGTTGCTTGTTGCACTATATGGAGTGACCTTAGAACTGACAGATTCCCTGCAGATCTCTATTTTTGTATTATCAAAGGGAGTTGATGACTGTTGCAGGTGATTGCTTCATTGTTGTTTGTCATGACTTAATCAACCAAAGTGTCAGGATGGTTTTGGGCTGTCACAGTGGCTCTACTCAAGGTGTTAGCTTTAAAGAGCTTTTGAGAATAGGGTTACATTTTTAAATTTCTATTCATAATCATTTGCTGAGCTGCAGCCTGTGAAGCTATGGTGGAGAAAAGAGAGCAAGAAAGGGTAAGCAAAAGTAGATAAAATAAAATTAAAAAATGGATTTAAGTGTGCTAAAACAAATTTTGCAATAGTAGTTGAAGGAAAAAGTAAAAGTTATCAAAATGAAAAGGTAATGAGAAATACCAACCATGATCTTCATTGCTGGGTAGAATTACAGCTGTGAAGGAGGGAAATAAAGCCCATCAGCCAATTAAACATCTGTAGGCCAGTGAGCTTGTGTGAACACTGTATTACATAGTTTTGGAAGCTCCAGATTCTGAATGGAACCCAAGGTGTCTTTGCCCAGCTTCCTGGTCCATGCTGATTCTGGGACAGACATGAACGACTGTTAATAGTTTATTTCTGCTCACTATGTGACTAATACCAAAAGGAATCCAGGGTTGTGTTGATCCCAGCCAGTAGCTGGCACCTACTAGCTGTTCCTTTACTCCTCCCCCAGTGGGGCTGGTGTTCAGTGGGGAGACAGTCAGAAGGGCAAAAGGAAGAAAAACTTATGGGTCCCTTAAAAAAGAAAAGTGAAAAACTTACTTATTCCCTTTCCCACAAGAAAGTGCATTTATAGCTTTTCTAGTACTCAGTATTGATTTCTCCCCCCCGCCCCCCCCACACCCTTAGGACAGAAGAATGTCATAAACCCCAAGAAAAATAGATCTTTCCTAAGGTTTTCTTGCACTCCTCATGAATTGCAACCAAATCTATGCATGTATCAGAAGGTATTTTCAAATGTTTAAAAAAAGGAGTAATATTTTTATAAAGCCCTCTTTATTTTTCCTTTAAAAGTAGAAGTCGTCTCTTTTGAGGTTGGTTGATTAAGCTGATTTTGAACAAGGAACAATTTAATTTTTTTTAGTCCATACTCTGATGCTAATATTTGTACACAACTTCCACCTACTGTGTGTTTTGCACAAAAACTTGAGAAGAAAATACAAATCACTGTATGAGTGGGGAGTGTTTTACAATTCACACTTGTTTTCAAGAGAAGTCTCACTTTTTTTTTTCTGTATTTTTGAATTTTTCTCGTATAATAAAAGAAACAAACATTAATAGCATAAACCAAAGACTTCTAAATATGTAATTTCGAAGATGCTTTTTTTTGGAAAGGGAGAGAATTGTATTGGATCTGAAAGTCGTGTCAAAGGAACATTCTTATTGAGAGGAATCACAAAAATATTTTGAGAAGTTTTCCAACAGTAGAACATTAAATGTGAGCATCTTGAGCAAAAAAAAAAAACAGTTACAGGAAGGCAATTAGTTAACTCGTCTTATAGTATTAAAATCATAGGTCCCTGCTGTGATGATTATAGATGATTTTTTTTTATACTTGAAGTGTCAGTATGTTTTTGATTGCCTGATGTTAAAAAAAACCCAAACAATTCACAGGGGAAGTACCCGCTTGGGTTTCCAGTCTATTGGTTGTTCTGTTGTTGGAAGAGCAATCCTTGCAAATCAGTAGTCCTAGCCCAGCAGATTTGAGGTTCAGAAACCAAAGGTATGGATGACTGAAACTAGCAATTCCCAAAAAAACGTGGCAGTTTGTCAACACAGTATTTTAAGAGTAGTGTAGATTGGAAGGACTGGTTTGAGATCGAGGAACCCCGTGCTCAGCTCAAGCAGGTCGGCTGGAGCAGGTTGCTCAGGACTATGTGCTGTCGAGTTTTGACTGTGTGAGGATGGAGACTCCACAACCTCTCTGGGAAACTTACTCCAGTGTTTGACCACCCTTGCAGTAAAAACGTTTTTACATGTGTTGAGACGGAATTTCCTGGGTTTTAATTTTTGCCCATTGCCACTAGTCCTGTCAGCATGCAGTACTGAGAAGACTTTGCCTCCTTTGTCTTCATGCTCTCCCATATCTTTAAAGAAGAATTAAAGAAAATTTAAAAAGTTTGCAAGTGTGTGAATATATATTAAATGAAGATTATTTTTTGTAAACAGAGGATCATGATACACTAAGGTAGATTGCATAGTAATGTAAACTTTCTTTGAATCTTCATGTTGAGAAATTGTGTTTCAGAACCCCAGATCTTTAGCTCTAAACCTTCATTGTCAATTAATAGAGAACACAGCAATACCTTTGGATAGTGGTAGTACCAAAAACAATTATAAAGCCTTTAGAATTGGTAACTGTACTGTCACTGGGCTATATAATGGTCATTTTGAGCCGGAAGCAATCCTACTGTAAGTTTCCATGGGTACAAAGGTTGCTGAAGGACTAATAATTTCTGACACCAATGTGTCAAAAGCAGTAGGCTCTCTGCAGCCAAATTGTGAGAACAGTTTTTTTTTAATAGCTCCCAACTTTTAGCCAGCATTGAAAACCAGTGTCATAACTTTCTCCATGTTTTTGCTGAGTTAAATACGTCTGAAATAGTTGTGATAGATTCTGAATAGTTGCACTATAAGTGGAATTTCTATACATTTTTAGTCATGTGCCTGGCTATAGTGTTCCATTCCTTTTAAAATACATAAAATAGTGCTAAAGTGTCATTTTCAAAATGGCGTTTTGAAAGCTAAGTTTACTTTAAATATAATAAACAGTAATCAGTTTTGTCCCGCAGAAGTTTCCTTGTGATATAAAAAACGTATGACATTTTAATTAGGAAAATAGATCATGTAACTCCATCGGATGGAATAAATTTTCCTGGTACTGCTGCTTTGCTGTACTGTATGTTCTTCTAAATTGGCATGAAAATGCATTAACACTTGTCTAAATTAGATCAGCCTTAAAAGCTGGAGGAAAAAAAGAGAAGGAATTAGTTGTGTTCAATTCATAGATCTTCTTGCTGCTGTCTTATCCTGCAGAGAAGCACCTTAAGCAGAAGCGATTTTGTGTGTTGAAAGAAAAATGGTGCTGTTGGGCCACTACCCTTGTGCCCGTTTGCGTTACAGGCAAGGGAGAGGACAGTGATGTCCTGAGCATCAACGCAGACGCCTACGACAGCGACATTGAAGGCCCCTGCAATGAAGAAGAGGGCCCAGAGGTGCAGGAGAGCACTGCCAGAAGTGGAGCCGGTCAGATAGATGACCTTCAGAAGGACATTGAGAAAAGTGTGAATGAGATACTGGGGCTGGCAGAGTCCAGCCCCAAGGAGCCCAAAGCAGCCACCTTAGCTGTTCCTCCATCGGAAGACATTCAGCCATCAGCACAGCAGCTGGAGCTTCTGGAGCTTGAGATGAGGGCCAGAGCTATTAAAGCTCTGATGAAAGCTGGTGATGTAAAAAAGCAGCCCTGATATTGTTTAGATTTAAATCTCAGTGTTTGTTTTGAAGGATGTGGTGTCTGTTCTCTTCAGTGCTGAGGCGTGTTTGGGTTGGGTATGACGTTCCTCATTCAAACCCTGTTGTGTATCCTGACTGTGGCTTAAGCCATCAATAGTTGGTTTCATTGCCTTTAGTGTGCTGCTTCCATGACACGCACGGAGTGGTTTGATGCTGCACCAAGATACAGTTTTCTTTGTGCTGGGTTGTCTCCTCAAGGAGTCGCACAATGCATAGAACTATGCCAGGAACTTGGTGCCTTCCAGAAAGGTTAGGAGAAACAAGTTCTTTATAACCCCATGGTTAGAAATTATCAGCTCTTTTTATTAGCAACTTGTTCAGCTACCTGAGAAACTTTATTTGTAGGTAGTTGATTAAAAAGACCACTTTGGAGGTGTCTTTTGTCATGTGACTGCCTTCAGCAGTCTGTGATGGCATTTGAGTTTGCTTTTCTCCCTGGGGCCCAGCTCATCATAATGTAGCTATTCTAGTTAAAATGAATTACAACTCACTTAAGCATATACTTAATTTTTAGAAAGCTGAGTTCCTAAAAGGGAGGGAATTTTTCCTTTCAAATAAACAGTTGAGCCATGTTATTTTTAGAGTTGTGAAAGTGCCTGGAAGTGACAAATTGGGGACTTTTTATACTGTTGGTTATGTAATTTTGTCACTCTTCTCCACTGTTTATCTTCTGTGTCATAACTGAAATAAAGAAAACAATTTTTTTCTTGACTGTGAAGCTTTTTTTGTTGAACATTTGGCATATTTAGGTGATACAACAAATCAGACTGTTTAGAAGAGCTTGAGATTTTAACATTTAAGTGATGTAGTCATTTCATGTCTCCTGTAAATGGGAAAATCTACCTAATTTCAATATAAATGTTTTTTTTCTTTTTTTTTTAGAAAAAACATTCATTTTATTATATAAGGTGTTCAAATCTACGTTTACCTGTTTCAAGGGTATTTCTTTATAAGTTATTGTACTATAGGATTAGTTTTCCTGCTATGATTTCTTACAACAATTAAAATAATTCTGATTTTGTTTAGAATTAGTGATGGTTTTATGCTTGGCTGCTAATCAAATGCATATTAAAATATTTGTGTGTGTTTGCATGCACACAGAGAGACAAATGAAGATTTTTAAAAAATATGCTTTATGAATGTGGTTCTTGTTAAGCAAAATGCTGTAGCATATATTGTTGGTCCTAATTTTCCTTTGGTTGTTATTAGCAAGCAAGTTAGATACTTTGCAACAGTGGCATAGAGAAATACCACATGCTATTTCTGAATATTGCAGACCTTGTTCTATTCAAATATTATGTCTTGAATTCTCTTAGAATATTTATAATTTTATTTTGCCCTTTTTTTTCTTCTTTTTTTTTCTCCCCTTTTATTCTTGGTTTCCCTTTTTAACCTCTTATCTACCCTTTTACCTTCCTTTTTTGGTAGGAAGTCTAAACCATCTTTAATAATGAGGTTCTTATATATTCCTTAAAGTAAGGTTAATTTCCTCATGAAACAACAGTATTTTGAGTAAAATGGTAGCAAAATAGTGAAGTGGAAATTTGATTATAATCTAAAACCTTTAAAATACATTAAATACAGCTGGGAAAATTACAGTGTGCATTCACTAAATGATGGCAGTGACACGAGTTAATTTCACCTGACTCTAATCAGTTATCCATGGCAACAACATGTTTTTTCTATTACTTGTTAGCAAACAGAGGATCTAAGTTAAGATTCTGTATGCCCAATCCAAAAGGTAACTTAGCTGTCTCACCATACACCTGTGTTGTCTTCTGCCAATTTCATTTGGCCATTGGGTGAACTTGTGGCTTACTTGAGTACAGAGAAACAAAAGCAGGCAAGGAGAGGGCAGCTGGAAACACCTAGATCTGCCATCATTGGCCAGTGGACCTGTGTACGACTGTAAAAATAAGTCTTAATAATCCTTAAGGCACTGAATACCTCACTTTGCCTGCTGTGGGAACGAAAAAGCTCACCTGCAAGGATATTTGCTTCCTAGTCCTACCGTGCTACCCTGTGTGTCTCAACCAAGAGAACCTCGCAGAACGACGCGTTGGCAGATGCCTGGCGAGAAGGAAATACTGCCAGAAGGAAGGATGAGCTGGAACATAGTTCTCTGCTGCTGGCTGCTTAATGGAGGTGCATGCTCTTTCTTTTTGAACTGGGCTTCCTTTTCCTATTGGCTTTCCAAGTCAACTTTAAAAGTTCATTTTGCAGTGTGTTTAACTGTCAAAGGTTATTTCAAGGTCTGTATCAAGAAGTTGCATATGTTAACTTTAATAGCTGGTGTGACAAAGATGAAACAAGTTTACTATGCATATGACAGAGAAGATTTGTAATTACAGCCTAATTAAATTTGAAATTAAAAGAGGAGAACGATTCCAAGAAAATTAAATTAAGCTGTTTGCAAAAATAAAATAGATATATCAGAAGAGAGACTTCATGTGATTGATTACACAAGTGCTAATTAATTTTTAGGATATTGTACTATTGCTGCTTAGGTTAAAAATATCAGAAAAATTATATAGGTTCCTGCATTGATTTGTATCACTGCATGTAAAAAAACCCCTCCAGTGTATTTAAAGTCTTTATTAGATATACAGCTGTTCTGTTGTTCACTTTTAAGTATCTCTGATTTCCTACTTGAAAAATAAATTTAATATATCACTTGGAAGAAAAGGCAACTTGTATATAAAATGCAGGAATGAATTATGAAACCATAAAACTACTGTTTTTTGATCAACTGCTTCCTTGGGAAAAAAGTATTATACACCGGGCCTTGGTCAGTATGAGGAAGAACATCCTGATTAAATTCTGGATTGCAGCAGAAATATTTTCTAATGAATTTTGGCTGTCCTTATAGATGAAGCACAGTGCTTTTCTGCATAGGAGGTTTGATTGTGTTAGTGTCTGGTAAATTAAAAAACTGACTCCCAGGGAGCCAAATGTATCTGTTAGTTCTGCTTACAGGCTTTGGTGTTATTTTTATGGTGATTTCATAGTGGCTTCAAGATGCCACTTTTGAGAAACAAATGACAGGTATTTCCTCAGAAAAGAATTAGTTCTGTTTGTAACACTCTTTTCATTACAGTATTTACTCTGAAAATATTTTGCCTATGAAACTTGATGCCTTGCATAATTTTATTTTAAGCTATGTAATAAAATATGTTCTTTCCTGTTTAAAAATATTCTAGTTGTTAATAAAGGTGAATGAAAAGTTCTCACAGAATCACTATGATGGAAAGGACCTTTAAGATTGAGTCCA